TAAGGAAAATATATGACATTTCAATGAACTCTCTTTTAGATTTATTGTTCTCACGGTGAAGTGTAGTGTTTGTATAGTCCATGAGATGGCCAGTGGAATGGACATATTTGGCTTATGTACAGCGATTAGGGTGAAGTCGAGAATCACTTTTGTGTAGTGTGATACCTGATTTCAATAATTGAGATGTTTCGCCGATGTAGGAATTGTTGCAAGGGGGGCATGAAATGTTGTAGACAATGTTACTAAGCATATCTATAGAAGTCTTATCTTTGATCTTAGAATAAAGATTATTAATTGTTAGGGCTGATCTAACACCCACATTAAGTTTAATGTTGTTATTATCATTACCAAAGCTATTTTCAACACTTTTCAAAATCCTTGTTAACCCCGGAGTAATATCTCTGAGGTATGGTAATAAAAAATATTTGTTGATAGGAGTATCCGAAACTGTGTTCAACAAAATCTTATTCACTAATGGTGTTGGATAAGCGTTTGAAATGAAAAGTTTCTGTAGGATTTGTAGGTTTTTTGTATGAAAAGAAGGATCTGATAATTTTATTACCCTATTTTTCATCTGTTTGATTAAGTTGACTTTGGTAAAATTATTATGGTAAGAGTGGTAATTAAGGTATCTACCAGAATGGGTCGGATTTTGATACCAATCTATTTTAATGTTGTTGTTTTCACTGATCATCATTATGTCGAGAAATGAGACGGACCAATTACCATCTTCCCTCTCTATAGTGAACTGGATGTAGGGGTCATAACTATTGAGGGTATCTAATAGTTCATCTACCTTGTCATTGGGCCAATATAGCCATATAGCCAAGATGATATCATCAACATATTTTTTAATAAATGGAATTTGAAAGGATAATAAAGAAATGAGTGAGTCTAATACGTAAGTTGCAATGATAGGAGAAATATTTGCGGGGGTACCGAAAGTTTGTTGATAGAATTTTCCATTAAATGAGAAGTAAGTGTTGTTAAAGAGAATTTCGACAGTGCTGATGAATCTGTCATAAGACATGGAACAACATACTCTAATATGGTCCCAATTGTTCTCTATTGATGTCAAACATATTCCTAAATGAACGTTGCTGAATAACAATACAGCGTCAAGGCTAACGAGGACACAATTTGATGGTAGTATGTAACCATTATATTTATTTACCATCTCAAATGAATCTTTAATGTAATATTGAATTTCATAATTATATGCATTAGTAAGTATGTCCGTAACAAATGTTCTGAGATATTTTCAGTGGGAGTTCCAATGGAAGCTACTAGCTGGAACTATTTTTTAAACGTTGTAATATTCGATTTGTAATTTGACAAATAACAAACTACTTTTCACGAGGTGGAACTCTGCTTCTACTGCGTTTACAGATTTTATTATTACACTATTTTCTTTTTCTATAAGCTACATTTTTGTTAAAAATATTTTTTTCGGTAAATACTTGTTTGAGATATTTGAGAAAAACCGTCTAAAAATTGTTATTTAAAAAAAATGAACATTTCTCACAATTAATTCAAAAGTTATTGACAAAGCGTATATAGACATACATTGCGTATTGGCATAGTTAATAGAACAAAGGTTGCTTAGAATTAATCAATTTATCAATTTCGGGACTTCTTTTGAACGGGGCTCAAGTCCAAAAGTTAAATACAGGTTAGAGCAGGGGTGCTCAAACTTGAACTGCTGGCGATCTACCTCAATATGTTTAGACTACTTACGATCGACTCTGAGAGACTGCAAGTGTGTGTGATGCAGGGTTGTCGTACATACACGATACACCCTACCTACCTAGGTAGGGCGTACCGTAGCATATATAGATATTATCTTTCTGCACAATATAGGTACATTATTTTAGTCAAGGTTTGGGTTAGGTTTAGTTAGGTTCTTCTCTACAATATCAATGAAAAAACTCATAGTTATTCAAAATTTCGAGTTTATTTGTTGTTACAAAACAAAAGAGTTACATATGGTGTTAAACTTAACTAAGGAGTGGCTTTGGATGTTGAAGCGTGGCACTGCATGTCCTCAGCATACTTTTCATAAGATGGTACGTAACCACTGAGTGCTAATCGCAAGCATGATGTCATATGATCGTCAGTTAGTCGATTGCGATATTTTGACTTAATTATCTTCATTTCAGAAAATGCAGACTCGCACAAGTAAGTTGACCCAAAAAATGCCGTCAGTGGAAGGGCGATTTGCCTTACATTCGGATATTTATCTTCAGATATAAAACGCCAGAAATTTGTATCAGATACTGTAGCTTAGATATGTATATCTGATATAATCTGCACCAACTTATTTTCAACAGAACATGAGTTCATATTAAACTGACTTGCTATTTCAGTTTCCTCAATGTTTTTACATGAAAAAGGATAACTTATAAATGATGCTATATTTTACAATTTACTGCAATCATAAAAACGCATTTCGAATTGTCCCAAAATATTTGATAATTCAGCCTCATACGTATCATAATTCAACTGAGGAATCCTTGCTTTCAAAGACGGAAAATGTTTCAGATCCTTTCTTTCCAGTTGATCTATCATAAGTTGCAATTTACTTTTGAATGCGTTTACTGCGCTAATCATCTCAATAATAGTTTTTCCTTTACCTTGAAGCTCCAAGTTAACGGTGTTTAAGTGCATTGTGATGTCAGTCAAAAATGCCAAATCATTTAGCCATTTTTCGTTTTTCAAAATCTGAGTGTTATCACTTCTTTCGTCTAGAACAGCTGTTATTTCGTGCAATAATTCTTGAAACCTTTCTAGGAATTTTCCGCGACTCAACCTCCTGACGTCCGTGTGAAGAACTAAATCAGTGTGTTCAGCTGACTCCCTATCTTCCAACAGCAACTGAAAGAGCCGCCGTTGCAAGCTACGTGCAGGGATGGAATTCACAATTTTTGTTGCAATGCCCATAATTTCCTCCAGGTTTAAAACTTTTGAACACAAAACTTGTTGATGTATAATGCAATGGAATGAAAAAAATGAAGGGAATTCTTCATTAGCTCGACACAATGCCACAAAACCGTTTTTGTTTCCAGTCATTGCTGGTGCTCCATCGGTTGTAATGCACATTAATTTATATATTAGTAGCTCGTAGTTTTTTTACAAAATTTAAGAAAACGTCATATATATCTTCGCCACGGGTCTTCCCCTTCAGAGGAATGATTGTCAAAAATTCTTCCTTAGCCAACATGTCATTGAATACCATCCGAATTAAAATACACAGCTGGACAGTGTCTGTCATATCGATGGATTCGTCGAACTGTAAAGAAAAGTATGTACATTCCATGATATCATGTTTTAGTTTATCTGCGATGTCTTGACTCATGACTTCAATACGCCTTGTGACAGTCGGACGAGATAACTGAAGTTCTCTTATAGCAGACATGATTTCTGTTTTATTTTTAAAATCTCCAAATAAAGTCTCACCCGCTTCAATAAATGCTTCCTTCACCACCGATCCATCTTCAAATTGTTTCTTGTGTTTCGCCAAAATATGAGATATTTTAAATGACGCGATCGTAGCAGCTTTTGATTGTTTGGCTGGTCTTGTGAACATGGATTGTTCTTTTTTCAAACAAGATATCAAATCACTTACTTTTCGTTTTCTTAATTCACTCTGTGGCGGAAAATCCTTTTCATAGTTTTTTATGAACAGTTTTATGATGCCTCTCTAAGTTACCACGCTTAGGTATTGCAACTGACGCACGACAAATAACACAAATGCACTTATCCTTCACCATAGAAAAGACAAATTCTTTCTCCCAATCCTTATTAAAGTGATACGTTTTAGATTTCTTCACTGCACTCATTTTCCACTATTTAATAATAAACTTTGTATCGACGTAGGATCGCTATCAAGTTACAAATCAGAATAACTCCAATTCCTGTAGGCGCAACATTTATATCGGCGTGAACGAAAGTCTCGAATGTTCCCGTCAAACGCGCCGACCGAAACTAGACTGTACTGTCTCTCGTCTAGAAACAACACGGCTTTTCTTTGACAAATGCCGCGCGTTCCTTTGATAAAGCCACCTTTTGACGCAAGCAGTGTTATTTTATTACGTAATACATTTTTGTAGTTGATAGAATATCATCCCAAATTTGATTAATAATTATAATAAATATTGAATTAATAAAATAATTAGTTAATATATGTAAATATAAAATATGCTGTGTGGACAGTATTTTGTTGTCCCCACTCCTTTGAGTTGCAATGATGCTTAGTCGAGCATTCTATGTATTTGTATAGTTCAGTATTAATAAAAACGTTTAACTCTGCTGACAGTAGTTTAGTTACCTACCTACTTATTAAAATTTTTTTTCTTCTCGAGATCTACCCAAAAAGCACTCGCGATCGACCAGTCGATCGCAATCGACCGTTTGAGCACCCCTGGGTTAGAGAAACCTAAATCCAAATTTTTAAACAAATCCGTCGTGACGAGGAAAATTACAGTCTAAAACGGCCAATTACTTTAGTCCGAGTTTGCCAATTTATATAAATTTGGATTTAATTGTTCTATAATATAGAATTTACTTTTACGTATCTTTTTTTATTATCATTTTTGCTTAGAATTAATTATACCCCCAAGCTATAGTCGAGTTACAGTAATTAATTGTGAAAAGAAACGCCTACTACCGACTTTAATCAAAAAATAAAGAAAAATACGATGTCATTAACGCTGCGCCGGGCCGGAGGACGCCCCCAGTAGCCGCATATTCCTAACACCTTAAAAATAAGCCTCTTTTTTACATTTTCCCAACGGTACATGTCATCAATGGTATTTTATCATCAAGCGATTCCTGCCCCCATCTTTGGCAACTCCTGCGATCGACCAAACCTATTTCACGGCAACTAGACTTCTCGAAATCTAGATGGCGTCCTTATAGTTCCCACCGAAACACAATCGGCGCGTCGCAGACACACTCGATCGAAGTGTGCCGCGATATCGCGCAAAATCATTCCGCAACCCCCAGGATATCCCTTCTTACGTAAAGGGTAGTAGACGGAACAGTTGAAAGACGATGGCTGACAAAAAAGTGAACGAATTTTATACACGGCCACCGACTTTAACCAAATGGGAGGGATTCAGATTATTCCTGTGGAATCCCGAAACGAAGCAATTCCTGGGAAGGACAGGGGCCAGTTGGGGTAAGTCCTTTAAAGATGGTCACTTTTTATTGCGGTATAAAAGTCCTTTTTCTCTTATTTATAAGCTTAATTTAAACAATTAAAACATACAAAAGAAACAAAATTCATATTCATTAATTGTTCTAATTTTTTTTTAAATTCAGCTTAGTCAAATTTTCTAAAGGTTCGTTTAAATATGTCTCTATTATTTTCTAGTGTCTATTACATAATCGTTAATAAATTTGTTCCCTGTGCAGATATCATATTTTTGAAAGGTAAAATTTAGGATTTGCCCTCTGACCTTTTCCATTTGTGAAATGTCAACCGATAAAGATCTTTATCCTAAGCCTAAATAAAATTTGGGCCTTTTTTGATAATTTACTAATATATTACTAAACATATTTCGAGAATTATTCAACTTTGGCCATATCTTTGGCCTTTTCATTTTTTGTAGTTTTTTTTTGGTCAATTTGTCGGTTTTCATAATGGCGTCTTTTGTGCATAATGGAGGACGCCGCCCGTTTAACAAAATGGGTATTACTGTTTCGTGACTTTATGGAAATATTGACATTTTAATTTAATTGATACTGATGCACTAAGGGAGAGACAATTCTTTAAATTGAAATCATATGACAAATAATTTTGTGCATGAAATAAAAAAAAACAAATTATTAAGTGGGTGTACCCTGTTTTATGCAAAAATAGTTTTATTGAAAGAGGCTTTGGATAATGAGGTCATGATTTGAAATTGGCAGTTGAATTGCCTTTTTTATATACTGTCATGCTGATGTAAGCTTCACAAAAAGCTGAAAAAAATTCTACTAACCAATTGCTAGTTTATGTTTATATCTACAGATCCAGACTTTTTAACTTCAATTTCTTCTAGTTTCAGACAAAACGACGAAAACATATTTCTAAATAGTAAACTGTTTGGTCTAGACAATTTATCTAACAATGACTTGTATCCGAACGAAATCTGGCAATTATAAAATCGATAAGCGTGTTTTGCATTGAGAACAAAAATTAGGTCTATCAATTGTAGATTGTTATATAATATGTTTTTATTCTTATTAAAAGTAGGTTAAAGAAAAATTTGTATTAATAAAACTGGGCTTGACACTTGGATCAATATTTACCGACTTAATCCTACAATATGGTTGTATTATGCTGTTGAGCTTGCTTTTGCATAATTTATAACTTCTTTTAAATTCCTCGGAATTTATTTTTTAGAAAATTGCGGTAGCGTTTCGTATTTCTCTTTTTATAACGCAAATTTAACATTTTAAACGAAAAAAAAATCCTGATTTATTTGGTTCATCTTCAACCGTTTACAGTAAATATTTTCTTCGTCTTTTTCTCCTTTTTTTTTAATATCCTTTATTTTATTCGTATTTCACAAAAGAATAATTTAATAATAAAGTAATAATAAATATAATATTAACCAGTTAAAATAGGCAACTTCTATACCGTTTTAATATCCATCTTGTAGTGTCGACTCCACCAATGAAAGCTGGTTATAACCGTTGCAAATTCGTCTATATCTTCTGCTTTTATCAAAAGGGTCTGTGTGTTTAACCTGGTCCAGTTGCGAATGTTTTTCAGCCAGGATATTTGTCGTCTACTAGGACCCCTATTTTTCAATTTTACCCTTTACAATCAGTTTCAACGAATCCCACTCATCATTTTTAGTATGTACCCCAAAATATGCTGTCTTTCTCCTTTAAATGATGGGTAAAAGTTCTTTGTCTCTTCCCATTCTATGCAACACTATTTATTAGGAATATGATCTGCCATGGTATTTTCAAAATTCTCCTAAAAAGGTACATATCAAAAGCTTCCAGCTTTCTCATTAAGTCAACATTAACAGTCCAAGCTTTGGCACCCTAAAGAAGAATACAGTGAATATATTTTATATTATTATATATCGGAATTGCATATTGAGTCTTTAATTACTCGGAAATTTCCTCATCTTTAAAACGGGTGCCCTCTTTGGGCTCTTCCAACTTATTGCAACCTCTAACTTCCATCTTCTTAAGGTTCACAATTATCTGGTTCTCCCATTTGGTCTTCGGCCTTCCTCATGGTCTTCCTGGTACTGGTCTCCATTGGGTGATTTTCTTGATAACTGCTTCTGGATTTCTCCTTTCTAGATGTTTCGTTCATCTAAGTTTCTTTGCCTTGATACATCTGACGATGTGTTCTCCTGTCAAAAGTTCTATTTCGTAGTTCATTAGTTTTTTAAATTCATTATCACCTACGTTTAGTGAGCCTGCTATTTTCTGAATGATTTTTCTTTCTAAGATCCTCAATATTTGTGTCTTAGAAATATTATTTCAACACCATATGTGATTACTGGTCTAATTGCTGCTCTGTAAATTTTCAGTTTAGTATTCTAAGTAAGCTTCTTATCTTTGAGTATAAGTTTTTGTATTTCCAGTAAGTTTGTTTCCTGCCAGAATTCTTTCATTGATTGCTATGCTAGTTTAATCATTTCCATTAACGGAGACCCGAGGTATTTAAAGTGTTCTACATTTTCAAACTCATATTCCCCAATATTTATCTTTGTCTCATTAACTCTACTTTTTTTTAAGCATATTAGGTATTTTATTTTATCTCTATTTATTGCCAAACCCCTCTTACATGCTTCTCTACACAATTTCGCAAATTATTCTTTTAAACTGTTTAGGTTTCTGCTAATCAGTGGTTTGTCGTCAGCGTACGCTACAAGTTGCGACGTCGAAGTTATAATAATTGTACCTTTCATTTCAGTAGCTGTTTTCCATTCTTCGATCATTCTTTGTTCTTCCCAAATCCTTAATATTAGGTTGTATATTTTTCGTTGCAGTTCTTCTTTGCCTTGTTTTACTGTATTATTACCTCGTTTGGGATTTCATCTGGGCCTGCTGCTGTCTTCTGTTTTAGATTTCTTATCGCACCCAAAAAAACTTCAAATGATGGATTTTCTATTTCGATTTTATCATTAAGATATGTTATTTTACATCCGTGCATTCGTGAGTGCTTTCTCTAACCTTATACTCTTCCTAATTTTTCTCCTATATTTTGACATCAATCTTATCTGTTTGTTTCTTCTTGTTTTGGGATTTTTGTATATTTATATAGCTTTACATTATCATTAATATTTATTTTCAACTCTTTTCGAAGTTCATCAGTTCATCTTTTTTTTTATTTTACAGCATTTATCTGAATATTTCTGTCTTCTCCTATACTCTTCCCAGTCTTCTGCTCTACATGTCTTCGGCCATTTCTTTCGTGCTAGGTTTTTTTTCCTGGTTGCTCTTTTACATTCTTCTCTTCGTCCTACCATTTTTTTCTTTTTAATTCTTTATATCCTATATTGTTAGGGTTTGAGTCTTCTAAATTTGCTTCTAACTCTTTAGATTATTCTTTCTAAACAATACCTGACTCTAGTTTCCCTACATTCCATTTTTTTCTTTTTGTGTATAGCTTTGTGTCTTATTTTCATTTCCATATTTCCTATTACCAAAAAGTGGTCAAAATCTACATTTACACCTCGATATGACCTGACATCTTGAATTGTACTTCTCCACTTTTTTAAAATCAAATTACGATTTATTTGTTTACCCTCAGTTGATCCTCGTATTCGCCATATTACCTCATTCTCGTTTTTGTGTGTGAAGTGTGTGCTCATTATAACAGTGTGTGTTGCTGCGGCTAGGTTTCAAAGCATTCTATCGTTAATGTTCGTAATTATCTAAAACGTTTTCTTTCCAGCTACATCTTTATTTATGTCTTTCTTTCCTGCCATTGCACTGAAATCGTCAAGTAAAATTAATGTCATACTTGGGTATATTCTCGCATATCTCGTTCTTTACGAGTTTCTCGTAAAACTCGTTTATGTTTTCTTTGACATTCTTATTCGGTGCATGCGTATTAATGAATGTTAAATTAGATTTCTTGTTCTTCTTCTGATATAAGATATTCTTCCACGTATAGCTTTAAAATCCATCACCTTGTTCCTTAGTTTATTGCTAATTAGGAAAGCTGTACCAATATGACTCTTTGTGGTATCTCTGGAATAACACATTGCGTATTTCTTTTTTACTAGTGCTCCTTGGTCTTTCCTTAGAATTTATTGTAACGCTAAGATTTCGATCTTTAACTTCTCCATCTCCTTCACCAACTTTTTGATTTTACTGTTCTTATTAGATTCTTAATATTCCATATGTCTATTTCTGTCCTGTTATTTTTCCTTTTACATATTTTGATTTTTTTTATTTTTTATATTAAATTAATCACAACTTTAGTTTAACATATGTTAATATTTTGAAGTTTCAATTTTCACTTAGGAAATAGAAACATATTTATGCGAACGACACCGTCCTAATAGCAAACACCGTACCAGAGCTGCAAAAATAAAAAATTGTATAGTCCATTATAGTGAACAGTTCGGTACGTCTTTCATCTAAACGTATCGAAATCAAAAATGCTATTCTTTTAAAAGACTTCAGTAAACAGACATCTTCTAAGGAGGCCCAATAAGTTCTTAGCCTGCAAAAGAAAACCTCTAATGGAGCACAATTCGTCAAACTTTCTGTGTATGAACAAGTATCAATTGTCCGCTATAAAGTTATTGCTATATACCCTACGTCTTCAGACATAAGTGGAAATAGCAGGACACATTCGCTGGCTTTCCGTGTATGAGTTTGTATTTACCTGACTGTCTGAAGACGTAGGGTATACAGAAATAACGTTAGAATAGTCTATTGATATAGCAGTATTGACGGTAACTATGAGACGAAAAGAAAAATAAGTAGAAACTGGAATCTAGTAGATAGAAACAAACTAGGGCAATATAAAGAGATATACAAAGACCTATTAAAAGAACAACTTACCCAAAGATTAGACAGTGACGATAAAGATATAGACGAAATAGACAACATACTTACAGCAACAATGATTACATCAGGAAAAGATATAGCAAAGAAGGATCTAAAAAAGAACAACTATATATCAACAGAAGCAAAGAAGCTTATGGTTAA